ATCTTAGACCAAGCTAAATCCAAAAATGCAAGGGAATTCCTGGAAGCTTGGTATTCAGACATGGCAACCTTATACTGAAATGTGGGATGAGCATGTACAATTAGGAACGTATTGCAGAGGTTGCTAGAGGCGCAGTTGTATGTAAAACTGTTGAAATGTGAATTCCACATTTCAGTATAAATCAAGATGTCATCCAAATATACCAGCACCCCCTTGTACAAATATTCATATAACGCCTCATTGATTAACTGCATAAAGACCCCAGGTGCCCCCAATAATCGGAACCGCATCACATGGTACTGGAAACAACCCAGGGGGCAGCGAAATGGTGTTTTCCATTCATCCCCCTCTGATCCATACTTTAAAATAAGCGTCCCGCAAATCCAGTTTCATAAATATTTTGCCCTTTGCTAAGTGAGCCAATAAGTCTTTCATCAGGGGAAGCGGATACTTGTCCTCTTTGCAAATGGCGTTTAGTCTTCTATAATCAGTACACAGTATTAACGATCCGTCTTTCTTTTCCCTGAACAGTACCAGGGCCACTAGGGGGGATTTGGCAGGTTCTGAATCCCCGGTGCAGGTTTTTATCAATGAATTCCCGGAGCGCCGCCACTTCCTTTTGAGTCATGGAATACATCTTCGGGGTGGGGTATTTTGCCCCTGGCTCTAGTTCAATTGCGCAATCCATCGTGCAGTGTGGTGGCAGTTGGTCTGACTTGGCTTCGCTAAACACTTTCGCCAAGTCTTTATATTGCTCCAGGATCTTGGTGCTCCCTTCCTGGTTCCTGGAGTCAGGTGCTAATGGCTGCCAGTCCCGGTTCTACTGAGCTTAAGGTGTCAACCCGTTTTACATCACACACCCTATCTGGGAAGGTTAGAGTCCTGGCGTGCCAGTCTATGGTGGGATTCCACAGTTCCAGCCAAGACATCCCCAGGATCAAGGGGTAACTTGCCAAAGGGGCCACTAGGCATTTTAAAGTCTCCTGGTGTAAGCCAACTCTTAATTCAAAAGCTTCCGTATAATAGTGCACGGCTTCTCCCCCCGCCGTTGACCCATCTACTTGCCTAAAGACAATAGGCACTTTTAGCTTGCACACTTTTAGTCCCAGTCCATTTACCAGCCTGGGACTAATTAAACACCAGCTACATTCTGAATCTATTAGGGCTGTAAACTCCGCCTTGCGAGTTGTTCTTAGCACCCTTATTTTCACCTCAGTTGACATGGGACTCACCTGAATGTCCTCGATGTTCGGTTTTGGCTTTTGCTCCTTACTCCTCAGGTCTCCCACCTGCTCTTGGGTGTGCTTTAGAGTAGGTGGCTGGAGTTTTCCGCTGGCTGGTCCTCCTCCTCGTTGCTTTCGACCAGCATCCGGATCGGGAACTGCTCCTCCTCTCCTGCAGCCGCCATTCCCTTTCTTTCCGGTTTCATCACTTCACAAACTTGTCAACTTTTTTGTGTTTCCCGGCTGGTTTCTAGGCTGCCTTTTTCGAACAGACGGATGTGAAGTGCCCTTCCTCTCTGCAATGGAAGCACAACTTCCCCACCGCTCAAGCGCTCACTCCAGCCCTTATGACCCTTCCGGTTTGCTTCACAGACAGTTGGCGGGGAGAGCTTGTCACTTTGGGTGGGGCCACTGCTCCCGATCCACAGATGGCTGCCCACTGTGATTCCAACACTGAGACGTGAGCAATCCATCCGGCCAGCATGGTTGGGCAGCCTCGCACCACAGCCATTTCCCACAACTTTGAGCTTAGTCCCTTCTGGAACCGCTTCAAGAGGAATGCTTCGGGCCAGTCATAAAACTTACCAGCCAGGCATTTGAACTCTAAGGCATATTCGGTCACCAAGCGGGAGCCTTGTTTGAGTTCTATGATGGCATCTTCCACCTAAGCGCGAGCGCAGGGGTCTTCAAGCCACTCCCACAGCACTGTGATGAACCCATTGAAGTCCTCCAACTCCGGTGCCTCAGCCTCCTGCAGGTCAATCACCCATTTGGCTGCGCAACCCACCAGGTAGCGCGACACGTATAGGACCCTCCAAGCGTCGCTTCGGAACAGCCAACTGCAGTTCCCCATGCAAATTCTAACTTGGTTCAGGAAGCTAGCCAACTCACCCGGGTCTCCATCATGTTTTCTCCAAACCCCATCTCTTCAACGGGTCGCCATCTTCTCTGCTGAAATGTGGTCCCCCGAAATCCTCTTGTTCCCTCAGCATCCCCCTCAGGCTCCCTCTCAGCTCCCCTTCTCTTTCACCTGGTCGATTGAGATCCGGTGGCTGGCCGCTTCCTGGTCTGGCAGGTTCGACCCAGGGTTCATGCTGCTTCTCCTCCTTCCTCCCTCTGCTCGCTGTTTGCTTGTTGCTGTGGCAGCCCCAGTTCAGCGAAAATTGGTCTTGCACGTGCCCTGTCTGAGGCTAAGAGTCTGATTTTGTTTATTAGGGCACACATGTCTTCCTCTAGCGCCTGGAACCAACAATCCTGGTCCCGTAGTTCGGTGAACCCAGTTACCCCTCCAATGGCTCTTGACCATCTCAAGCGGTCCGGCTTCGCAGGTGGCGGTTCCTCAGTCACCTCCCAAAACTCCCAGGCACTCAGGGTCCCATCGTTGAGCGTGCTGGCACTCTCTGTCCTTATGTCTGACAACCAGCTGGGCTTCTATTGGCTGGGGAGGGATGAGAATCTCCTCAACCTCTATGGGAGGAGATGGCTCCTTCTCGATCCCGCCAACTGCCCCAAGCTTGAGCTCTGTGCTCTCAGCTTCCAGCTGTAGCATATCCTTCTCCATAGTCATGGTGCTTTGAGCGACTTTCCATGGTAATTGGTTTTCTCGGAGAAAGTCCAACTGAAGGAGTTTCAGCAAAATGTCAGAATTACAGTGTTTGAGTCCCAATGAAGAAAAATCTTGTGCAACCCGAGTTAGGTTCAAAAAAGATTTCATTTATTGGAACATACATGCAACTCGAAGCAGAGCATTGCTGAAACTAAAGCCTGTGCTTTTCCCACTTTTACCCCTACTTCTCCCCCCACCTTCTTTCCAGGCATCAGTTCTGTTTCTCACAGAGGTGCAACCTTGCACATTCCTAACCTCTGATAACAGTCCATCTTCCTGGCCTTTGATAGCCTACCAATTCACTCTACTTTCATTACCCCCCTCCCCCTCCTAAAGAATGGCAGAAACAAAGCAAGCAACTACTACACTAATATTTTGATTGCTGAAAGTTCTGACACAGTCATCAACAAGCACATAGAGATAAACAACATCTACACACTATTCAAAAGAGACAAAAAAGAGAACAAAAGACCAGAACATCTCCTCACCAGTAATAATCACCCAGATAAGCAGAGATTAACACCAAGATTATCACCAGACATACAATCAAGCAGTAAACAATAGCCTAATCAAGGAACTACTGGGGGGGGGATAAAACCCCCACCCCCACTAACACTGGCAGGGCATGCCACTATATATAAACAGAGAGCAAACCCCATTCCATTCTAGCACTGAAGATGTTACCTAGCCGGGTAACAAAACATTTGCAAGAAAACCAAGCTCAGAGAACCCCAAGGACTCCACAGTTCAACCCTGAGCTATGCATATTCTCTTCTATTGGTATGTCTTGAAAAGTTAGACTCCGTGAGAGTTCCACATAACACTTTATAACTACAAATCTCTGGCCCATTCTAGCCTGGAACCTTTGATTTCAGAAGGGCTAGATTTCAAGTTGTTAAGCACAGAAATTGAGGAAGGAAATTTGTATTAAAATAGTACTCCTATTTTATAAGTTAATGGATAAGACAACTTATTTGTAATGAATAAGAAGGTAGACACTTGTTGCAAAAAATAGAGAAATATTAGGCAAACAGCAGCAATTCAATAAGAAAAATGAATTTTGTCAACAAATCTCTGGCTGTCACCCAGTGGAAGTAAGATATTTATTACTTATTTTTGCACCATTTCTAGGCTGCCCTACTCCCAAACAACTTAGTTTTTACTAAGACTATTAGAAATAGAAGACAACTTTGTGCCCTCACGTCTACTCTGTATGAAACTATGAGACTACCTTATATTAACTATTGGTTTATATATCTTAGTAGTCCTCCTAAAAGAAGGTCTCCATGGATTTTACTAAGTGAAATCAATAGAAATTGGTTAATGAAGAGTGTGAAACAATTATGTTGCTCATTGTAAGGAGTATCAGGAAAGTTGTTGATTTAAATAGAAGAATAAGACAGCTACAGTATGGGAACTAGGGACCATGACAGGCTCTTATCCTGAGACCCAATCCCTCACTAATGTACCTTTTATTCCAGGGAGTTTCATCTTCCCACCTGGTACCAGCTTTGAACCAGATTCTTCCCTATTGAATTTGAAGGTATTCTGTGCTATTTTTGTTTTGTGAAATAGACTTTAGCATTAATTTGTTGAAATTTTCTGCCATATGCAATGCCAGGCTAAAAATAAGCACACTTTTTTTACAGTGTTGTTAAAGTGCTGTAAGTGGTTAGTAGCATAGTGTTCTCTGGGTTTTTTTGAGAGAAAGAAAAGCTTTTTATCTTGTCTAAGATTAAAATATTAGGCAAGCTAGTGAAAAGTTTACTAGGAAAAGATTCACAAAATGGAAATGAAGAGGCTGAGATCTCAGAAACAGCAAGGCTGAGACTAAGTCAAAATAGTTAATAGATTGAAATATAGCAGTCCAGGGGAAAGATAGAAGAGACAATGCTTGAAGCAAAAAGGGCAAAGATAAAAGTTTTGAAAAGGAGTATTAGATAAAAACAGACATTGTGGGAAAAGCTTACATGGGTTTATAGATAGGAGAGGCTTTATGTTATTAGCAGAAAGAGCATTAGATAAAGCTAGCAGCACAGAGTAAAGAAGGCTTAAAACAAAATAATAGAAGAATGGATTGATGAAAGAAAAAGCAGAACTCACATGATGCCACTACCACCACTTCCCAAGGGTTCACCTTTTTTTAAAATTTATAAACTAATAAACTACAACACAAAGAATAAACACGTGATAGTTGGAGAGATACAGCTCCAAACTATGAAAGCACTATAGGGCTGAATAGCTCCATACATATCCCATTGCTCTCAAGTAATATTACATAGGTGCTGATTTTAAAAAAAGTTTAAAAATAAAATAGAATATCAGAAATAATAGAATAACTGACGCCAATCACTATTATTAGTTATATTATTATTATACAGTGGAACCTCGGT